CCCGACAGTCGCTTTACAGAACCATCAGGCCCTTTACTTCCTTCCAGCTGAGAAGGAAGGCGCCCGCCTCTTCTTGGGGAGCAATGCTGTTGTTATGTAAATGAGTCTGGGTTCATCCAAAACAACTTAAACCGTTTCAGTGAACCCTTGGATACCCTGGCTCATGCCCCTACTAGGACCCCTTACTGGGCTGGGACTCATCCTACTTTTTGGTCCCTGTCTCTTTTGATGTTTCTCTAATTTCTTACAGGAATGTATGCAGGCTTTCACCAACCAAAAGGTTGCTGAACTCTTCATTGGAGGACGATACCGGCCTCTCCAGTTCAGAGACCTGGAAGAATACGGCTCTCCCCCAGGAATGCAATGCGGTGTTTTTGTTTGGCCTGATTTTTCCACCTGATTTTTCCTCTCCCTTCAACCTCCAGCAGGAAGTAGCTTCAGAAGAATGAGACCTCTGCCCTTTCCCCCTTTTTCCAATACTTAAAAGGCGGGAATAATAGATCTGCAACATAACCAGCCCCACTTTAGACAAGCCCAAGTACCAAATGGTGCCGCCCACCTCCTCCTCTCTCCTCCTCCATTCTTTTACAAGAAGCCTCATGGTTTCAGAGAAAATGAAACTTTCAGTGTTTCCACATGCGCAGAACTCTCCATTTCCATGACCTAACTCAATCCCCACCCCGGAATTACATTACCAGCTCTTGGTGCCAACATATCAATATAAGCTCCCACTGCCCTAGGTTAGCTGCTGCCCTTCATTTTGAGGGCAGCCCTGGGCTGCCCCCTACTTTGGGCAGAGCCTGGCAGATTCTTTTCCCTTAATAAAGCTTGAACGGTACCCAGCATCTCAGCTCACTTTCTTTCAACCTGAAACTGGGTAATTTATAAAAAAATGAAATTTATTTCTTACCATTTTGGAGACTGGGAATTCCAAGGTCCAGGGGACACATTTGATGTGGACTCCCTACAGAGTCCCGTGCCCATACAAAATATCACATGGTGAGAATGGCAAGAAAACTTATTAATGTACTCACTTGCTCTCATAAAGTCACCTGTTCATTCCCTTGATAACCCATTAAACTGTTAACCCATTACTCCATGAATGGATTAATCCATTCGTGAAAGCACAGTCCTCTCAATCCAATCACCTCTTAAAGGGAACACCTTTCAACATTGTCATAGTTTCATTTCCCATCCTCTTAATACTGTTACAGTGGGAATGAAGCTTGGTGATCAGTCCACAACACTGGGGATGTTTACCTTGATCATGTTAAGTTGATATCTGCCAGGTTTCTCCACTGTGAAGTTTTTGTGGTTGATAAGTATCTTGCAGGAGATACTTTGAGATGATACAAATCCTGTTTCTCCTCAAACTTTTATCCACTAATTTTAGCATCATCCATGCATCTTGTCTGAAACATTTATCACTGTGATGTGGGCCTTATAGTAATTCTCTATTTCCCTCTTCCTTCTACACTTATTGACTGAACTTGCAATTTAAAGAAGAGCTGTCTATTCCCCCATTTCTCCCCCATTTATCTATTTATTTATTTATTTGATTATTTATATCACTATAGCCTCATAGATATTTGTATTACTCTGTGGGTAAAAACCCCATATTATCATTATTTTTCAGTCAGATTGCTCCAGCTTAGGTCATCAGGAACTCCTTCACACTGACTCCTGTGTTTTTTCCACAAGCCTGCACCTGGTTTTGAGCATTTCCTTACTTTCTGGCACATAAGATTATGTTAGGTATATGCAGTTTTTAGGTTGTTATAGATTCTAGACCCTCTCAGAGAACAGAGCTAGGTAATATTCAAGGTCTCTAAAAAGTTCATGGAAGGCTGGCCCGTGGCTCACTCGGTAGAGTGCGGTGCTGATAACACCAAGGCCACGGGTTCGGATCCCTATATAGGGATGGCCGGTTGCTCACTGGGTGAGCGTGGTGCTGACAACACCAAGTCAAGGGTTAGGATCCCCTTACCAGTCATCTTTAAAAAAAAAAAAAAAAAAAAAAGTTCATGGAAAGATTAATTTTATCAATCCTTTTGTGTTGCTATAACAGAATTCCTGAGACTGGGTCATTTATAAAGAACAAAGGCTTATTTGCTTATGATTCTGGGACAGCTGCATCTGGCATGGGCCTCAGGCTGTTTCTACTCATGGCAGAAAATGGCAGGCAGCCGGTGGGTACAAGCAGATCACATGGTGAGAAGAAGCAAGAGACAGCAGAGACAGACTCTCCTCTTCTTTTAAAGCCCTCAGAACCATGCCCCTGACCACCGTTTTTAATCCATTCACTACTGCACAGTCCTACAATCCAATCACCTCTTCAAGCCTCCATCTTTCAATTACCATAATAGGATTTTCCCACCCTCTTAACAGTCACAGTAGGGGCTAAGTTTCTAATACATAAAACCTGGAGGACATAATTCAAGCTTCAAGGAGTTTGGGGGGGGGGGCATAATTCAATCCACTACATTCATATTGTCTTTTATTTTTTCACAAACTTTTAAAAGTAACTTCATATATAATATGCTACTAACCCATACATACTTACATATTTATATTTCTGTATCAATCCATATGTATGTATATTTTAAAACCATAAGTTTATATTGATACCTCTGATCCCCATCTAGTACCATAAGGTTCATTTTAGCTTTCTCTCTTTAATTATACTTCTCCAATAGTTGAAAAACCCCAGCTACTATCCATTTCTTTGTTTAAAAATGTGTATTTTGTTTTGTTTTTCAGGAAAAGCATTTTCCTCAGAAGTCTATAGAATGGGTGGCACAGAATGGCCTTCAGCTTCACTCTAGAGGTAGGTAACCCTAGCAACTGCATTGATTCTTCACTTCCTGCCTCCTCCTAAATCCCATCTCAATATCGCCCAGTCACCCTGTTGCAAACTAAATGAAGCTGAAGTTCTCTGTCCCTCAACCCGAGAGCTAGAAGCTCAGGGCCAATATAAATATAACTGAAACCTAATATAAATCCCCCTTTCTGAGCAGACCAAAAAGAAGCCATCCTGGGTTGAAGTTCTTTTAAGATACTAGTACTGTGACCTAGGGGTTTTTTGAATTGGTTGTTGACCATCTAAACTTCACTCTGAGTCCCAGCTGATTCTAATGGTTGTTTCCATACTTCCCCACTATTTCCCACTCAGTTAGACATTGATCATTTAACCTTCTCAGTATCCCTACCAAATGCTGATAGTAATTAAACCCTTCCTTGCATCCCTCAGGATGTTATCTGTGAATATCAAATAAATCAATGGGTAAGTGCTTTGAAAATTATGCAGTACTAAGTAAATTGAAGAGCCATAGGATACGTCTGCAGCAAGATGATTTGAACTCTGCACACTCTGAGATGCATTCCATCTTGTGACCCATCTGGTAAAGTGAGTTCAGAGATTGCTCTTCCTGCTGTGACCCCCTAAATTGTGAGGCAGAACTATTCTAAGAATACAGGGAGGGTGAAGCTGCTACAGTGAATGGGGTGGACAACAAAACAGGATGTCCTGGGAACTTCTTAAAATAGGAATATCAAAATGCTTTAGCTACTGAGTACTTTACAAATATTTATTCATATATTCAACAGCTATTTGCTGTGTGCCGTACTAAGGGCGGAGGAAATGAGAAACTCCATCTCTGCCCTGAAGACGTTTAGAGTAGGAAATCCAATGATCCCCCCCGAGCAGAGAATACTGCCATTTCTTGAAAACCTACTGTGAGCCAGGGATGGCGTCAGTCTTTCTACATATTACCTCATTTAACACAAGCAATCATCTTGAAGGTAGGAAATATTTTCTTTGATAATAATGAAGAAATTAACTATCAGAGGGGTAAAAGAGTTTGTCCAAGGTCACAAGTAGTAAATGCAAGAGTCAAAATTAAAATACAGGTCTGCCTGAATGCCAAAGCTCAATTCATTTCCCCACACTTATAAGGTGAGGGTAATCCATTCACTGAACAAATCTTTATTGAGTGACTCTTTTGTTCCAAACATTGTTCTGGGTGCTAGTTATATAAAATAAAGTCTCTGTCTCGTGGGGTTCATATTCTACTGGAGACAGACAATAAACAAATATTTAGTATGTCAGGAGTAAGTACTGTGAAGAAAAGCTAGGCAGAATAAGGATGGGTGAGGGTTGGATTGCTGTTTTAACTAGAATGGTCAGGGAAGGCTCTGAAAAATGTGAAGTTTGAGCAGCCCTAAGGGATGTGCAAGAGACACAACTGGCACAAAGGAAGAGCTTCCTTTTTTGCCTATCTGTGGGTTCAGTCTGGAAAAGAGGGAGCGGGATGGGGTGCAGGTGTTAATGAATAGCATAGGCTCAGAATCAGAAGACCTGAGCTTTAATCCAGATGACTTATTAGCAAATCGTTTCACATTTGAGCTTTAGTTTCCCTCACTGTAGAAAATAATAGTTCTTGCCCAGCTTCCCGCACGAAGCTGCCATGAGGTAGCCAACGTGGAAGCCCTTTGAAAATAACACAATAGCGAAAGCTAGGTCAGGAGTCAGCTCTTCAACCGACAGGAAGTCCGTGTAGGAAAAGAAGATACTCCAATTTAAGGTGCACCGGTTACCTCTGACATCACTTTGAAAAGCCGTCCCAGGCTGAAAAGAGAAATAGTCTAAAAGAAATAAGCATAAATTTCATGGTAGACCTCTGCTGAAGATCCCTGTTTAACTTACATAGGCCAGAAACTGCGTCGTGCCTTGTAACTAAACTAGGAAAGAGGTTCTGGGATCTGAATCTTCACCGCTAATCGCCACGCCCAACCTTGGCATTTTCCTTTTTGCCACGCCTCTCCGCCCGAACTCCATTTCCCAGCATGCCCCGGACTCCTCTATGTCGGCAGTCATTGTGACACAATCCCACAGCCTTCTGGGAAGTGTAGTTTATTTGTTCTCCAGCTGTGGAAAGATCTAAGGCTGTGGACTACCACTCCCGTGAGGTAGTGCGCAAAACTTCCTCGTTCGCGGCGTCTTCGAACGCGCCGCGGCAGCCATGTTGGACGTGGCCAGCACAGGGGCCGACACCAGGGGGTTTTCGAAGCAGCTGTCACGATGCTGGGCTCCCTCGTGTTGAGAACAGCGCTGGCGCCGCGGCTCCTCCTCCGGCTGCTCAGGTCCTCATCGCTCCGGAGCCATGGAGGTGCCCCCGATCGGAGAATGACCACCGGGGACCGCGGGGAGCCGCAGTGGCTGAGGGCGGCCGCTTGGGGGCGCCCTGGAACAACGCCAACCTTGCTTCCTGGCCGAGGGGCAGCCACCGGGGGGCGCCGGGAAGGACTCACCGAGATCCATTGCCTCGCGGCTGCCACGTGGGGACACCTTCCCAGTCCCGAAGAAACAGCCCCGGGACAGGACAGCTGGCATGGGGTTCCCAACAGGTCCGGACTGGGCATGTGGGTCCTGGCCACAGCACTGGTGGTTCAATGCTACAGCAAGAGTCCATCCAACAAGGGTGATTATGGGAACAGTCTGGGTTTGAGGAAGGGAGAGGCGGGAGGAATGTCCTGACTCTACATCTTTGGAGGGTGGGAGATGCTTATAGATTTAGATCCTCAGAATCTCAGTCTTAGAGGGACCCGGACATCATCTAATTCCAGGGGCAGGGTGTTGCCCTGGAGAGCTCACCGCCTCAGAATTTATAGTTTCACATTGCAAGTTAGCTTCCTCCTTTTGGGCATTATTTCTCCATCTGTGCAGTGGGGGCATTAAGCTAAACATCTAATATTACAGCATAGTCCCTTTATGCTCTTACACCCTGACTGGTCCAATTTCTCTTTCGAGAGGTCTCCAGGAAACCGCGGGGTTTTTTAAGGTCAACCACCACCACATGGTTTAAAGTCCCTCCCCCCTCCTCTCCCCATCCCCACCACCGTGGCCTGAGAAGAGACTTGGTTCCAATGCCAGCTTTCCCCCTTCTCCTCTCTGGCCTCAGTTTCCCCACATATAGTGAAGAGTAATTTCACAGGGCCTGGGTCTGTCCATCAGTCTCCTAGGGTTTTGCTGTGCCTGGTCTTAGGTGTGAGGTGATCTTGCTATGTGGGGCAGTTGGCAGGAGAAGGAAATTGGATCTCTGGAGACCCATAGCAACCACGGAGGTATGGCTGACCCAGATTGGCATCTCAGTGGGGTGCAGGGGCTGAGAGAGTAGGTAGAGAGCCGGTCTTCTGGCCTGCATGAGCCCAGTCTCTCAGGTTCTCAGTTATTCTTCATGGGGGAAGACTGAGGCATGTGGTGTTCATAGATTCCATGCATCCCAAGCTCTGAGACTTTGGAGCAAGAGTGGTGACTGCCTTGACTTTTTGTTTCTTCAGGAAAATGTGGCCAGCTGTAAAGTAAGGGCTTTGGACTGAGAATGAGGACACTGGGGATCTTGTTTTGATTGTGTCTAACTCCCATTGTGAATTTGGACTCTTGCTTCTCCTCACTGGCCCTCTCCGTTTTCTCTCCAAAGTGAGTGTGTTAATATAGATTCTAAAGACTTCTAGCTGAAGAATGCTGTCATTCTATAATTTTTATCATTTTTTTTTTTTTTTTGGATAGCCTTTGTGTGCTTAGTTTGGGCTAGGTGTGTGAGAAGTCTTAACAACACAAAATCAGTCAACGGGACAGTGCAGGCAGTTCGGTGTGCAGGGCTGGTGAGTGGTGCTTACTGTGTGTTGTTGGGGAATCAGAGGGCCAGGAGGGGCAGGAAAACCTTCCTGGAGAATTGGAAACCCCGGGGAGATGTGGAATTTGAACTTGAGTTCTGAAGGATGAAGCAGGAGTTGGAAAGAGAATGACATTGTGAGCACCATGGGAGCAGGGAAAGCATCTTTTTTTTTTTTTTTTCCAGGTTGATAGTAGCACCTTTCTCTAATACCTACACATTGTCCATCAGAGTGTCTGGAATTTAGAAGGTACTCTGTCTTGAGTTGGATTGTATTCTATGCAAAGACTTAAGGGAATGAAGATAAAAGAGTCGCAGGTCAGCATGGTATGTAGCAGAGTGGTCAGCTTGTTTGGAGGATGGAGTATTTGGACTGAGGTGAAAGCAGATGGACGGGAGCCTGGATGCCAGGCAGGAGGATTTGGAATTTCTTCTAGAGGTAGTGGAGAGCCATGGAAGGTTCATGATCAGGGAATGTCCCAAGGCCAGCATGTTTGGATAAACTGGGGAGAGGTGTCTAAGGTCATGCCTAAGAGGTTCCTGGGGCCTCCAGACTGGAGTTTGTGGCATGTGAACTATAGTAAGGAGACCAGGATCTATTTACCAAAACAGATAATGACCAAAACCATGACCAGTACCAACCCTTCTGACTTGCTAGCTACCCTGTCTCCTGACTACAGTTTTGAGCCAAGGCCTTCACTACAGTGTAGTAGAAACTGAACCCTTTAGGAGCCTGTAGGTTCTGGTTCTAATCTTGGCCCATTCCTCATCTACTCTGTGACCTTGCAGAAGCCACTTTTTTTCTATAGAGTCAGGGGAGAGTGGATACAGCCATCTCTAAGGAAGGTTTGTTCCCCTTCCAGCTGGAGGCTGTGAGCATGGTTGGCTGTGTGTTTGGGTAAGGTAAACAGGAAAGACCTGGCCCTGGAGTCTAGACCCGGAGGTGGGGTTGAGGCACCAGTGTCTGAACCATATATGCATGACAAGGTGGATATCTTATCTTTGTTGTATAGATAAGGAAACTGAGGCTCAGTAGATTAGGTGAGTTGGCTAGGTCATACAGCAGAAGTGGCAGAATTGGAACAAGAGCCCAGGTCTGCCTGCTCTTTCTACCCTGCTCCAGTGCATCCTCTTCTGTTTCATTGGATGATGAAACCCTAGGAGACTGATGGACAGACCCATTCCAGTTCTCTTTACTGGACTGAGAACTCCCTGAGGCAGGGCTCGGTATGAGTCTCTCCAGTGCCCAACAATGTAGCTCAGAACCAGGCTGGGCACAGAGGTACTCCATGGGCACTTGGTATTGGACTATTTGAAAAAATTGTGCCTTTGCTGTTGACTTTTTTTTTCCAGGTCAGGCAGTTTTTCTTTCTGGGCACAAGGTGGTGCCAACAACCTGCAGGCTGCACTGGTCAAACTAAGCCAGGCTCAGCATTGCTTTTCTACTAGGCCTTGTGATTCCTAAGGGATCCGAACCCTCTGCTTTGGGTCTCCTTAGCTGGGCTTGGCACTGAGGATTTTTCAGATTTTTCAACCATCATTTCATCTCCTCAACTTTCTTGCGAGCTGGCAGAGCAAGGGTTATTGTCTCTGCTTTATAGTCAGCAAAGCTGTGGTTGAGATGGGGGGAGCGGGGGAAGAAGACATGACAACTACAGTTCCTTGAAGTTGATACGACAAGCAAACAGAAAGGACATTGTTGGGTGGGAGCGGGGAGAGGAAGGAGGGAGGGAGGTTTCGGTAATGGGCCACAATAATCAACCACATTGTATATTGACAAAATAAAATTTTTAAAAAAAAGTTTTATTTGTAATAATGATAAAAAAAAAAAACTATGGTTGAAAGGGAAAGGGACTGCCACAGTCACATGGTGAGTAGGTGGTAGAGTGGGTTGGAGCCAGGTCTAGATGAGGTTCTCTACATTTTCAGAGGGGCCCACACTCCTGCCTGCTCCCCCATCCTATTCCTCCATTTGGGTTTGTGACCTGTGACATCAAGATTCAGAACTGCGCTGAAGAACTGAGTTTGGAGAGAAAGTGGGAAAAGGTTGGGGAATCAGTAATGATAACAATAATAATAACATAAAACATATGTATACAGACCTTTATAGCTTATGAAGAACAAAAGAATTCACACATTGAGTATTCATCATAGGTGAGACATGGTGCTAGCACTTTACCTGCATCCCCTGTATGGTGAGTTAAGAGTTTGGGTTCTGTCATAGAAAGGTGTGGAAGTCAGCTTAACAGTGGACACCATGTGGGGAGGGGACAATCAGCCTTCTCTTTTATGTATCATGGCATCAGTTCGCTTGTTAAAGCCCCAGTTTCTGAAGGGCTTCCACTTCCACTGCCTTACTGGGCCTCCTAAGTAGTCCTGAGGGGTAGGTCCTGGCCAGGATCTGACCAGTGCCTTCTCTCTTTTCAGATGCAGCCCTGATGGAAGCTGCTCGTGCCAACAACATGCAAGAAGTCAGCAGGTGAGTGTTCTGCCCCAGGCCTTGCTGTCCCCAACAGTAGGGGCTAAGTAGGATAAACCCCTTCCTCATGTGATGACTCAGCTATGGCAGAAATCCTCACCCTAAGCTGGTAACTGTCCTCTGTGACTCCCTGTAGTCACTGAGTCACCTGGTCTTCCTTGGCCCTGGTCAACCCTTACATATTTAAGGTAGGGAGTCAACCCCCAAACATCCCTGAATCCTTCAGCTGTTTTATTCTTCACAGGGTTGGTTTGGGTGCCTTCCATATCCTGTGGGTTCTTCTCTAAATATTCCAATTTGCTCTTGTTTCTCTGTGGAAGTAGCCCTGTGTTATTGCTTGCTGCCTGGATGGGGTGCAAGTGGCCAGACATGGAGAAGCTTGGGGATTTGGGAGGGAGCTGGAAGAGACCTTTCTGCCAGAAGGTCTTCTGGGGCTAAAAGGGCCTGCCTGCAGGGCTGGGTGCCCATGCTGGGCCCCTGCTGGGGGACAGACTGTATTTCTGCAGCCTCAGTGGCTCAGCTGGTGCCCTGGGACCACTCAGGTTGAATTTAAAGCTTGTTCTTGGTCAGGAGCAAGACTCAACTCAGGACTCAGTCTGGTGCCAGGGGCAGGGCAGAGTCTGTGTCCAGGATGGAGGCTCAGAATGGGGCCAACACAGGGCATCAGTTATGGGGCTATTGGATAGGGGCAGAGGTGTTTAATTTTTGCTGAAACTACTGACCTCCACCAGGCCTAACCTTGGCCTGTTTGGGCCCTTTGTATAGATCTCGGTGGCCATAGGACACCCCCCTTCCCTGCAATCACATACACATTTTTATTTTATTTTTTTATTATTATTATTTGTTTTAAAAGATGACCGGTAAGGGGATCTTAACCCTTGACTTGGTGTTGTCAGCACCACACTCACCCAGTGAGCTAACTGGCCATCCCTATATGGGATCCGAACCCGTGGCCTTGGTGTTATCAACACCACACTCTCCCAAGTGAGCCACAGGCCGGCCCAACACATACACATTTTTCTTTTATTTTTTTATTATTATTATTTGTTTTAAAAGATGACCGGTAAGGGGATCTTAACCCTTGACTTGGTGTTGTCAGCACCACACTCACCCAGTGAGCTAACTGGCCATCCCTATATGGGATCCGAACCCGTGGCCTTGGTGTTATCAACACCACACTCTCCCAAGTGAGCCACAGGCCGGCCCAACACATACACATTTTTTAGACCAGAAGTCAGGTGTTAGGATAGTTATTCCTGCACCCAGTGCCATGGACCCGTGGTGCTCTTTCCCACTCCAGCTGCCTGAACATACAAAAAAGTGTTGAAAGGCAGCCACAGCCCCACCAAGACTTACTGCTTTGATTCCCTTTCATTCTATCTGCAACATTATTATTGATTCTCAAGGGTGCTTTTGAGTATTAATGTTCAAGGCTTAGTTTTAATAAACCACTTTTGGAAGTATGGGCTGGGAGTTGTTTTGTAGCCAAATAAATATGATGGAGCAATAGTTTAATAAACATGCAATGATGCATCTTAAAAACCAAGCACAGATGTCGTCTTGTTATAAGAGCCATTCATAACTGCAGGCTATGTGCAGCATCTTCATTTCCCCAGAAAAAGATGAGCCTCACTTCATTCTGCTGCAGTACAAAGGAGTGAGGGGGGCAGAAACTCACCCTTGCTGACCCTGGAATCACCTGTTGGTAACTGCCAAAGGCTGCCAGTCTGCTCCTTTCCGAGACCTGGCTAACCCAGTGTAGGCAGCGCATTTGCAGAGAGCAATGCTGTGAGTCTGCCTTTCCATCATCCTCAGGAGGCTATTCCATTCAGCTGATTATCTTAGCTCTTTCAGATACACCTGCCCAAAGAATACAGAAATGATTGAACTTATGGTGAATGTGTGACTTGGAGAATTGTTCGAAACATTCATTATTGTCTGTGAGGACTGTTATCTATGGGGACCTTTCATGTATGTCCCCAGACTCTAGCCTGCTTCTCTCCTGCCTCCTCTTGTTCCACCTCCTTTGGTCAGGCTGACTCCATGTGAGGAAGTCAGAGAGGAGCAAGGTACAGACCTTGCCCTCAGCCCCAGTCTCATATAGAACCACAGAGCAGGGGAACAAGCTGAGCAAAGGCAGGAACTAGGAGATGCTGGCTGGCCGCTGGGCCCGGGGAACATGTCAGTGCTGCCGAGGTGGGAGTGGTGCAGGGTTCAAGGTGTAGGGAGAGAGGGAAGGTGATTTGGAAAAGGCTGGAGTGAGTGAGGCCTGCCATGCCCAGGGTAAGGAGCTTTGAACTCTCACCCTGCAAGCACTTGGGAGACACAGGAGGTTTTTGAGCAGGGGAATGACCTGGTTAGGGCTGTTTCAGATGGGTGAAAGGTGGTTTGAATTGGGGAAAGGCTGAGGGCAGATCTGTTAAGAGCCTGTTTCAGTAAGACGGATTGGAGGTGATGAAAGCCTGAGTGAAGACATCCTTTTCTCCCTCCTCACCCAAAGCAGTTCTTGCTTGTGAAAGAATGAGTGGGCTTCCAGTGGGCTCCAGGTTGTGATCTCAAGGAACCAGACATGTCACCCGCCAATTACAATTCTTCCTGCTAACAGAGCCAGGTCTGGGGGAGGTGGGGTGAGGACAGCCTGACCATCCTTGCTAGAAAGCAGGTCCTCATTCAGCCTTTCTGTGCCTTAGACCCTGCAAACGTGCTTCATACTGCTCTTTATTCCTTCCTTTGTGTGTCCTGGCCATTAGCTTTCCCAACAGATCTGTCTATAGCAGAATAAAATCCCATTCTTAATTTTTTTGAAAAAAATTTACACACAATTTACACATGGCTAGGTAATGACATCAGTATGGTCAATGACATCAGTATTTGGAATAAAAATCAGACCTGGTGAACAATATTGTCCTCTACAGTTGTTTCCCCCTTGCCCTTTCTGTACTGTGCCTCCCTTTGCCTCTCTTTTTTGACCTACCCCAGCTCCTGTCCCTAGCCCCAGAGCCTTGGGAGAGCTCTGGACAGTGAAGGGCAGCAGCCTGAGGCTCTTCTGCTCAGGCGGAGATGCTTCATCCTCCTCTTTAAGGACACCCTGGAATCTGCAGTCCCTGGGCCCTGGATGCAGGCCCTCCACACAGACCACCCTCTTGACTCTGTGCTCATCACCTTCTGCTTAAATCCTACTAGCTGTTAAGGCTCAGCTCAAGTGCTGCATCCCTTGTGAAGCCTTCCTCGATTTCTCCCAGCTGGGTATGATCTCCTCTTCCTTTGCTCACTTCTGGCCCTGCCCCACATCTCCCTTCTGATAAAGAAGGATATGAGGGTCATCTAGGAAGGTCATGCCAGTCTGTAGCAGCAGGGAATCCTTTTCTGGAAGAGAAGTTGGAGGTCAGGTTGGAGAAGCAGGGCTGAATGTCAAGACTGAGGAGGCAGTCAGTCGACAAACAGGAAAACCAGTGAGGTTTATACTCTGACCGAATCAGGAGCACATCAGGAATCCTCACTGAGTATGAGGCCATCAAGCCAACAGCTCTGGACAGCAGCCCTGATGTGTGGGCACTGTTGACCTACTTTACAGGGAGCTGGCTAATTGTGTGTGGTGTGGGCTGCCTGGCTAAAGAGGCAGGGTACGATCTGCCACTTGCCACACTTTGCTCTTTGTATTTATTAAGAAGTTTGTGAGCTAGACTTTGCCTTAAACCACTGGATCATGTGCCTCCCCAAGGGCAGGGACAAGGTCTACTTCCTTACTGTCTGTTACCCTGTTCCCCAGCACAATCAGAACTCGTTTACTTTTTAGTGGTTTTTTTTTTTTTTCTTTATGTGCTTTTTACTGACTTTTCAGTATAACTGGAGCAAGCAGTCCAGAGTCTTATTTCCATACTCCCATTGGCTAGATCAGAAGTAAGCTGGATCTCTCCCTCTTTCCCTCCTTTTCCCCTGAGGCACTTAAACCTTGTAAGCTCATCCAGCACTGGCTCTTCAGAAGTGGAAGCCTGGCCCCTTTCCTGCCTGTCAGCAGTGTGAGCAGGTGGCCCTGCTCCTGGGCATAGCCCAAACCTGAGCCTGGCTTCTCAAGTCAGGAACCACTCACCTGAAACCTAGGGCACAGGGCAGCCTTAAGGCACATCTGTCCAGGCTCAGGCTGAGCTATCTGAGCAACTATCAGGACTGGGAAGAATGAGGCCTCCTGTTCTCCCCCAGTGGAGATCACATTTCCTTCAGGGAAAATTGGGTGAAAGACAACACCTCTACCCACTTCTCTTCTCCCAGCTGGGGCCTCTCTACTGACTACTGAGTACTTCAATCGGTTGTTCATCAGCCTGAACGGTCTCTGATGAAGGAAGCCTGGTGGCATCACATCAGTCTGGCACCTCTGCCTCCTACTCTTTCTTTCCAGGATTCATTTGTTCATTGGACAAACATTTACTGAGCATCTGCCGTATGCTGGGTTCTCTGCTTGGCACAGGAGACACCTGACTAGACATGATTCCTGCCCTTGATGACAGAGTCTGGGGTAGACTGTGGCAATGGTGTGCTCAGTGCTATAAAACAGAGAGTACAGGGGCTGCAGGAGCCCAGAAGATGCCCCTAACCAGCCTGGGGAATCAGAGAAGCCTTCCTAGAGAAAATGGCACCTTAGTGGAGACTTAAAATATCAATAGAGCTTAGCAAATAGAAGGGGAAGGCATTCAGGCAAAAGGGACAGCATGAGAGGTAGCACCAAGGCAAGGAACACCCTGGCAGGAAGTTACACACTATTTGCTATTGCTGGGTCACAGTCTGATGCCAGGGGCCACTGGAGATAGGTAGGAACCTGGTCATGGGGGGTGTTGATTGACTATCTGTTTGACTCTCAGTTGCCCATCTGTCCAGCCTGTGCTCTGTTCGTAGCCCTGAGCTGAATTTGGAGGAGGAAGGATGGCAATACAATGAGGAAGGAGGAATAGTCCTTGCCTTGGAGAAACTCATGTTCCTCTTGGCGAGGAAGGAGGACATAGTCA